AAAACTACCCTTGATGGTGGTTTAAGGTAGACTAAAAGCATTTTAGGAATCCAAAGTACAAACATATAATAAGTACCCTGTATCAAGATTGATGCAAAACAAGTGACATTTGACCTTTTTAAAAGAGGTTGAGCCAAAAAAACTCCACCTCTGAGTTGATTTGGGTGGAAATGGGTGTTTTACCGTTTCTGTGGAACCCATGGTCGATTTTCTTCTGGACCCGTTAGAGCCAATCAGAATCGAAGGGGAATCTCCCCACACACACACATCTGGTAAATCAAAAAGGTGGGGGCTTCGCGCACGCAGTTTTGCTCCAGAGTGAAGCTGTCTCAAAAACCGAAGCAGATTTATTGCTCATGGATATCAGAAATCATCAAAGTGACCACAGACCATTGGATTAACCTATGGATTAACTTCAGCATCGTTTTGATCGTTTTAATGCCATTGAAGACCACTTTTGACCCGGACTACAACAGGAGGTGAGCCATGTTAGCGTTTCTAGCTACCTAGCTTCATATGTTTTGATGTGAAGTTTTGTTATTATCTCCGAGAGTTCGTATAATTGAGGCATAATGAAGGGTACCCCTCGGATTCTGTGTCACCTCACGATGGTGAACGATGGGTTGAGATGTGCAGGCAAAGATAAATAAAAGGTTTGTGAGTGCATTTCGGTGCAGTCATTGTTAGACATTTCGCTCATTGCTAATTCAGAGGCTCAGCGTTAGCATTTGTGGGGTTTTTAATTTTTTTTTTTTTAAATGATCAAATTTTCTTCCGTTACATTGGATATAAAGAACATTTCATAGTTTATAAAATGAAACATGCCTCAGACACTGTTTCCTGCGAAGATTTTGCAGGAGGCCCCCAGTACCGGGTCTCTCGCGCGCGCTTAACGCATGGATGTATAATAAGAACTGGATACAGCCTGTGGTAGGCGGGGCATCATTCATTTCCTAGAGAGTTGCTCATTGGCGCATGGAATGATAAAATGGCCCAACTTTTTGAAGAGAGCGAAACGTCAACAGATTTACCGGCAGTGCTGAGAAATACCGTATGTGCGCTCATAGGGCATGCGCAACTTTAACCAAATGCTCGTTCACATCAAGCACGTCAATTTGCGTACACGTACAGCACCGCACGTTCATGACAGCATGGTATGGCTTGTTTTTATGATGATTTGGATATTGACGAGGTGGCAGTTTAAGCATCTAGCGGGCTAGGTATAATTATGACCAATGTGCACTCAATCGTTATTACTTATATTACGCTGTTAACAGGATCTAGTGATATCCAAGCAACAGAGCTTCATTTAGCACAAAATACATTATTGCAACTATTTATATATATATAATATACAGTGCAATAGCTTCTTGGTGCAATAAGAAGCTAGCAGGGACGTATAATCTAACGTTGGTTACAGTATATTAACTTATTTAATACAAACATTTACGGTACAAGATTTAATCATTACAGCTCATGTAGTATAATATTTTACAAATGATGAATACAGCAAACATGTGCAATATATCCATTTATTACAGCTCCGGTGGATGGCACGTGAGAACGATATGGGTCCGTTGTTATTGTGACATCCATGGGTAAAGATAAACGCCATGTAGTTGCTGGAACCTGCTGAACATGTAACCATGAACCGCGCGCACGGGCGGCGCGTCCCCTGGTAGGTTAGATGCGGGTTCATAATGCAGAGGGATATAACTCTCAGAGGATAACGTTATTAGCACATTTTTTACAACTTGAGGAACGATGTTTTTAATAAGGGCCTATACAGTGTTCATTACTGGGTGGTTTTATTTAGAAAACTTTTAAAAAAAAATTATCACGCTTTACAGACCCATTCTTTCCCCATGTAAGTCAATGGGAAAAAGTGTTTCCGGGCCAGCAACCTAAAGGAAGTGTAGTACCGCCGTGTGTGGCACAACGAATATCTGCTCAGAGTCCGCGCACTTCCTGGGGGCATGGGCTAACAGGTTTTAAACTCCTTATGAAGTGGTTGAGGTGCCGCGCTCCACATGGATTTTCTTCCCCATGCAACGCTGTGTACATAGCCTGTCTGCAAAGGATTTTGGTTTGAGTTGTGTTTGTGTGTGAGCAGGCTCGGTTGGCCATCGGGAGATTCGGACTTTTCCAGGTGGGCCGCTGCCCTTTGTTGGGCCGCGGCGCTCTGACATAGTGGCCGTGGGACTTTCACAGCGCCGCTGCGCCGGTACCGCACCCGCCACCGCAAACACCCGCCGTTGCGAGGCTCCGGCGGATCCGGCGCTGTGAAAGTCCACCACCGTTGCGAGTCTCCGGCTGTAACAGTCCACTAACGCCCGCGGGGACCCAGGTTCGATTCCGGCCTGAGGTCCAAAACATTTATAAAAATAATAAATAAAAAAACCCGTTCATCGCGTCCATTCGCGACCCACCTATCACATCTCTGCGCCCCACCAGTGGGGCGCGCCCCGCACTTTGAGAAACGCTGGCATAGATGTTCACCTAACTTTCACTCTTGTCATCAATATATCCACATTGATTGGATTAAACCTGCTTGTGTACTTGCACTGTGAGTAGTGAACGTGCCCTCATTGACATGACACCAGAGGATTAGAAGTGTGGGTTTATTTTAGATCTTTGAGCCTCAGGTTAAAGATTATGTGAGAAGCAACAACACCACTCTTCTGAGGCCAAACATGCCTTTTGCCACGCCCTCTTGCTGCTTGGGTATAAGACGCTGTCAGGATGTCTCCTGCCCAGCAGTAACACACTCACAGCTGACCCCTGCATGGCAGAGGATGCATCAGTTTCTCCCCTCCTTCAGTCAATTAGTTCCCTCCTTAGTGTCCTCCCTTTGTTTTTTTCAGCACTTCAACCGTAAAACTGAACTCCTCTCCTATTTGGTCCTGTGTGTAGCCAAAATGCCCTTCATACCACCTGTGTCGATTTCCCGCTCTGTGTCAGGGCTGTCTCTGAAGGAGAGACTTATCAGCAACACTTCAACAACTACTTTCACAAAGATCCAAAAAGGAACTACTTTGACCAAAGTTGCAAGAGAAGACAAAGACGGCTCAGTAAAGGAGCGAATGGCTTTGAACCTCATGCAGCTGGGGAAGAAGAGTCAACCCAGGAGTCACCTGCCAATCGCTAAAGCAGTGTCGGTGGCCGGGCTGCATGCAAAGAGGAAGGAGAGAATGCTGCCTTCATCACAAACCGACAGCTTCCCAGCCTCCAGCTCGGGTGAGTCCCTGTTTAAGAAACAGCAGCACAAACATGTGAGCCAGAGTTCTATGAAGAATGAACCAGAGGTGAAGACGAGGCCCAGGCAGCAGGAGAAGGTTGGCCTCACACTGACTCTCACACCTGACGCTGTCCTGCTGCTGCAGAGGAGGAACAGTGAGAGACGTCAACAATCAGCGTGCAGAAATGCCGGAAGTGGAGGAGGTGTTTATGGAAGCGTATTTGATACCAGGTGCAGGAGGGAAAACATCACTAAAAGGCACCAAGCAGCATCAGAGAAACACAGCACTTCGAATAGCAGAGTCGATGCTAAAAACCATAATGACGCTCATCTGGTAGACTTAAGCTCAATTGTGAAAATCTCTCTTCTAAACGAGCAACATAAGTATGATGATGTGGAGTATGAAGAGGAGGACCATTGTGTGGATGAGCGTGTGGTGCTTAAATGTACAGAGTGGCTGCAGGGGTTGGAAAACACACCTGTGACAGTGGGTAACAGATTGGATAAGAGTAAAAGCAAGGTGAACAGTTTTTAAAGGTGGAATGAGAACTGCTGCTTAATTAGGGTGTCATCTTACAACATGAGACTGAACTGCAGTTTCTGTCGTTGTTTTGTACAGCTTGTGTTCTGTATCCCGTGGTGCTCTTTTTTTGTATTATAATGGGCCTAGCCCTGCAAAGAAATTCAACCATTGTGACAGTGTTAACGTTTTATATGAAATGTAGAGACAATTGACATTTTCTTAACATTTTATTTTCCTGGAAGTAAAACTTGAAGAATTAAAATTAGGTCTACATGTTTGAAAACCTGATAAAGACAAAGAACATTTTAGCTTGTTTTACTCATTGTCATAAGGTACACAATGCACTGCACTGAAATGTCTCACAAGTGATTTTGTAAGATACAAAATAATTCTTGATTCATATTTGGCTTCCTGTGAGTTTACAATGACTGTTAAATGTGGTTCTATTTTAAAAGGACAACATGTAATACACTGGGGAAGACAAAACTACACTGACTGTTTTAAAGATGGGTAGTTTAGTTCAAACTCATGTTGTACAGCCAACATTATCAATACCTGAAACTGAGCTTTTTAAAATCTAGTGGAGATCTGCACGTTTAAAAAATGCCATATATGCTCTAATAATTAATGGAAAAAACAGGACGATGATGCACAGACTATCTACAAATATTTCCCCTTAAATGCAATCATGCAGCCATGAACAATCATGGAGTCTTGGGTTTGATTATTTCACTTAATGTACATATATAGTAGCTTTAATGAAGAGCTACTACATAGTGTGGAAAGAGTGGTAATATAACTTAATGCCAGGGAAATGTGGTTTTTGAATGCTCTTCTGTAATGCAACTATTTTTTCATGCACTGTGATCAAGAATTACAGCAAGGATCCCATGTTTTTGTCCATATTTAATGTTGATAAGATATCAATATTTATTTTTCAAACTGGAAAAATGTAACAAATGTGGTGTATTAGACAAAAAATAGTTCTTTCACTGTCTCTGCAAGACATAAATAAAAGAAAATCGTTTTTTGACTTATCATTTCTTACTGTAGAACTTTAAAAAATAACTATTAAAATAAATGCATGTACATCCCTTCACTGTGCCCAAAGTTGTCTCACTCACTGTAAGTAGCTTTGTAGGGAATTAGAGTGTGCTTAGTGGCAGCTTATCTTCCTCTGTGACAAATGTTACAACACGTGAGTTTGTTGTCTAATCGAGCACGAGTGAGAGACACAGATTCCAGGTATGATCTTCAACAAATATTTTAAATAGTAATTTAAATAATACAATCAAAAAGGTTATTTCATATTAAATATTCGAGTATGTTTTTTTTCCTCCAAATGAATTTCCCCTATGCATTTCATTTGAGACTTGTTAAATAAATAAGAGAAAGTGTGTGTTTGAGGGATACATAAACAGATGATTATTATTTCCAGCGGTTGATTCGTCGCAGCTGTACGTAGGCCAGGACCATGCAGACCACGATGATTCCCAGCAGAGCCACCTGGTTCTGCCAGAAGCCCCACGCGGAGTAGTCAAGGCCCATGCTTTCCAGGAACAACTCCCCTGGGATCCTGCAGAACAGATAAGACAGGCTTAGTGTGGGTTTGTGTGTGTGTTGCCACGTGTGTGAGGGTTATTGTGTTTTAAGGAGTGTTCATCATTGCTCAGCACTCACTTGGTGGTGTTGCTGTAGAAAAACTGTCCTGACATCTCGTTAATGAATGCAGCCTGAGAGAGACAAAGAGGTTGGGCTGAACAGCTTTTCTCTCAACAGATAAAAGACAAGATTACATTTGAACCCACTGATCTTGCTCTCTTAACCACACCCTTCTGCTCTTGCTCTGCCTATTTTTCTTGTCTTACATTCAGTCCATATCTGAAAATACTGATCCATTTCAGCCAGGAGAGCCAGATCAGCATGCTGTTGAGATTGACAAGATAGCCACCAAAGACCTAAAATGTGTGGATGAAGAAGGAAAAGAGGGAAAAGTACACTTAAAAACATAATTCTGCTTTATATATGCAGCAATACACATGATGACCTCATTTTGTGTGTTTCTCACCATCATGAAGACAAAGGGTAGAGCAATGAGGATGTTAGCCATGGCAAAGGAAGATACGCTCGCTGAGACGAGGAAGGCCAGGCCAACTCCCGCCAGACTGACCAGAGACATGGTCAGCGCGAAACACAGGAAGGCCACAAAGGAAGGCTTCAATCCTGGGGCAGACAAAGCAGTTCAGATTCATTTTAAATGTAGTCAGTTACTGAATATAAATTAAGCATTTTTAACGTAATACATTGGATTATAAAATGCAATCTAATCTGAATACGTTTGGATTACTTTAAAATCAAACATTGGGAATATTCAACGTTATCCTAAAAAGCTGCTGGAATTTGACGGAGAATATTTTCAATGCAAACTAAATTATTTTGTATATTCGGCACCTACTGTTGGTCAAATAAAATTTGAATTGTACTGTGAGTACTCAACAATATATGCGATGCTGATTCATTTATGTTTTTTGTAGCTGCTGTTTCTGATTTGCTCTTGTAACACAAGAGGAGCACTTTTCACATTTCATTACATTGTGATGATTACCTGAGATCCGAAGAAGACAGAAAATAGTATGACAGGAGACATTTTAATAAAATCCCGAGTATTGCTTTTAGCAGATTTCCCCCGGTGGGTCCCGACATGGCAGAAGGGTTAAATGAAAGGTTTCAGACAAAAACATATCAACATCTGGAGCATAAACTAGTATGACGAATAAAACTGGAACCAGGAGACTCCCTGTCATCCTCATTTCATTTCTAAAACTTGAACCACCTTGGGGATAAACCAAGTCTGTGCAGAGAGAAATATAGACTGTTCCCTTAAACACATTTCTGCTTTCACTTGCTATGTATACAATTTTTGAGATCCCTGCAGTCCTGAAGACGGCAGATCGCGTACGTTACAAAGTAATCTCAAAGACATCATAAAACAGTACCGGTTGATCTCTGCTTTAGGAAAGTCTCCGCCAGTGTGTGTATTCATGGTGTGTATGTGCTTGTATGTGTGAGAATTACCCATCATATAGTAGGCGATGGCTGAAAAAACTAAGATGGGGATGATGCGGTTGGGGATGAGATCAGCGAAGATCTTGGACAGGAAGTAGACAGAAGTACGGTAATAGCCACTGGAGTTCTCGTGACTGAAACAATGACAAGAAAAGACCCCCAAGAAACACATTAACACATAAATACACACTTTGTATCACATTTAGAAACATGGGATTGTTATGACTTAACAGAAAAAAGTAATGTCTACACTTTATATTAAAGTATAACACTTAAAACATATAAATTAGGCACACTTTTGTTACTGTATTCTATCATTTTCTCAAATACACACACTGTAGTTTAATTTGAATTCCATCTCACATACACCGTCCTGCTGCAGTAATTTCTTTCTGGGTTATCAAAGGTTTATTAATCCATAGCTGAATGAGTCCCCTTTACTTCAAACAAAACGATATAGCCTGTAAAAGAATGATTCTAAAGACCCAGGGCTCAGTGCCACAGACAGAAAAGGCTAGCCGATTCATTTTTAGACATACTAACGAATAGTTGGTTTAGTTTTTTTCATAGGATTTATTAACAATAAGAAAAATATAGAATTACACCAGTCTAATCCTTTAAATAGTATTAAAAAGAGAAATGTTATCCACATGGATCTATCCAATCATTGATTATGAACCTTCGGCATATGTGCACTTCAACACGCACACACAACTCTTATCTTTCACTCACATGAAGATTGCCCTTTCATTGATAAAGAGTTCAACAGCAGAGAGATTCCCAAACACCATGTTGATGATAAGGAAGAAGAACGCTCCACTCCTGTCACACACAGAGAAAGAGATCTGCTTATCATTTCATCTGATGGATGGTTAAGCTACATCAGCCTGACCTTGGGTTTATCAATAAGACCAATTTATTATATCTTAAATTGAATTGACCTATCATACCAGAGCACTTACTTATTCTTTTTTGAACATCTTTTCAGTTTTAATGCCAGTAATGGTTTTATTTCTGATATGGACACACTATATGTTATCATATATTCCTGTCTACATGCAATAATGTAAAAATGAAAACCATCGACATTATTGAGAAAAATCTTTTTATGTGATCTTCTATTTTCATTATGTAGTACTGTTGTAGTTTGGCCTTGAGGTGGGCTGAGGAAAGGTGACACCTTTTAAGTGTGCAAAAGTGTATTTAGAGCAGATACACAATGCAGGTTGCGTGTGCTGTACCTGTTCTGTATAGCCTCGGGCAGTGTTAAGGGCATTTGGTAATAAATTAGTCCCACCAGAATCGCAAAGAAGATGTTGAGAGCCAACTGAGCGTAAGACGTCTGGGGGTTCCTCAGACTGTTCAGCACTGTCCTGCCACACACCACACGCATCTGTATCACACACACACACACACACACACACACACACACACACACACACACACACACACGGTACATTTTTTATGGGCATAATGACAGTTATAAACAGGGTTCATTCAGTGGGCAAACAAGCACACAGCTGGCTGGCACAGTCATTAAACTGTGACGATACATCATAAGCTCAATTCAATTTCAGTTTATTATAAAATAAATAACAACTGTGATCTTAATTTCCTCTTATAATAGTTGTATGTCCTTTTTAATGTAATAAACACGTTTTGTCCATCGTTTTAATATGTTTCTGACTTGCAGAGTTGGCTGACCTGATAGCAGAAAGACGTAATGTAGTCTGCGGGCTTGTCGTGACCTTTGACCCCTTCAGCAATGCTCTTGTTCACATGGTTCAACTCCTCAGCTACTTTCTGGCACAGTTCGGACTGGCGGTACTTGGTTGCCAATGGGTTTTTACACTCTGATGTAAAGAAAGATAGTGATCATTATAAATCACCATAGGTAAGGATAGCAGCATTACAACCTTCTTTTTTATATCAGTCATATACTGCTCTCAGGGTTTGGTGATCTCCAGTCATTACTTTGGTATCTTGGATAAAATCTGGGTAAAGGAGTGTCATCCTGGTCTCACAAGGATATAGTCTTTATATGTTTTCTGTAAATAATTGTTGTTATTGGCTTTCTGTTTTTCTCACACTCTATGTTTAAACCTATGGATACCTATCATCCATTTATGATGTACAAGAAAATATATTCTCTTTAAAATCTCCTATCATTAAAGGTCCTGTTCTCATTATTTATATATTTTCCCCCCTGTTATGAGATTATATGCGTCATTTGATTCACTCCCATTGGTTATTGCTACTATATAGGTGGGTGTGAGTGAGTTAGTGTTTAGAGCCATGACAAAGACCTACAGCGGTCAGAACACATTGGCTTTTCAATGATTCAGCCACTCCAATAAAGTTATTTTAATATGTAAATTCTTGTTTTTAGCTCTTTTGTTTTGGAGGGCCTGGTTCACCTTTTTTTTGCTTTAAATATAAAGTGCTGAGGCCATGTAAATCAATACAGCAGAAAGGTCAGAGTGGCTACCATTTAACTAAGTCATTCTATTTTTATGGTCAGTGCACAGTAATGATTTCACTAGTTATGACTACAACAAACAGTCCAAAGTCCGTTTTATTTCTACGGCTGTCACTAAAGGTAATCGCCACAGTGAGTTTCTGTCAGTATTATAATTTTTGCGTAATTGTTAGACAATCAGGATAAAAATAAAAGCAGCTACTCTTTCCAGGTATATTGATAAGCTAAGCTAATCGCCTCCTAACCCTGACCCTAGATGGATTTTTGTTGAGTAAACTAGTATTTAAATGTAATTTCAAACTTTGGCATTACAACCTACAGACCAATTTGACTTGAAGCCATAGAAAATGTCTAGAGAGCGTCTTAGTTAGCCTCTGTTGGTGTATACCATACAGTACCTAAGCAGTGTGTTTGAAGTTATACCTGTAGTAAGGGTTCCTCGTGTTGATTTTGCCTCTCCGTTTGTGATATCCATGAAGAAATCCGCAGGGTTGTCAAAGGACTCAATTTGGAAGCCTGTGAAAAAACAAAAAGCAAAAAACGCATGTAAATATATCATATTCAAAACATGTGCAAAACTTTAACAATGGCCTCTATAATAGCAAACAATATCCTGATAGAGTATGAAGCAATTTAAATAAAAAAGCATTGAGGTAGCTCACTGTCAAGCAAAGGATTTCATATGGCAATGCAATATATTCTCCTTCTATATACAGGGATTTATTAAATTACATTCAAACACACTTCTTGTCAAGGTCCTCCACCTTTCATACACAAACACACACATACCAAGGTTTGTGAAGTAATCCAGTGCTTGGTCTGATGCTCCTGCGTACACCACTTCGCCTTTATGCATCAGAGTCAGATGGTCAAACTTTCTGAAGATGGAGTAGCGTGGCTGGTGGATGGAGAAGATCACAGTCTTACCTCTTCTTGACAATCTGTATATGCATAAGAGAAATGTGTTTACGTCCATATTGTTACAGAAAACACAAAGAAAGCAGTGGATGGGCAGACACAGCAGTAATAAAACCAACAGCTAATAGTATATTGCTCACTGTATGATATTGCCATAAATAACAGCATTGTATGTTAGTTTTCATTTCTTACTGTGTAGTAGGCCATTTTAATGCACAAAGAGGAATTAAGGAAGGTGAAGAAGGTACAATGTTTTTACTAATAGTTATTGCCAATAAACGTCAAAGTATCAGGACAACTGTTTTTTATATAACACATTTTCTGTTATGTTTAATTATGAAAATGTGGCATGATCTCATTAAATATTTACTACGTTTTACACATTTAATGTGCAAATGAGAAAAGCAATTCTCACAAGAGGACACTGGAGCAATACAAAAAGACAAAGTGCAGTAAAATAAATGGTATATATTTTTTCTTTCCACTAGTGTAAAAGATGAAATGTTAAGGAAGTAAAATTTAAAAGGAAAAATTATAAATAATATTTTCGTCTGTAGTGTCTCGCCTTGATTAGTAATTGTACCTGTACAGTAGATTAATGATATGGTTTGCAGTGTTAGAATCCAGTCCAGTGGTCGGTTCATCCAGGAATAGCAGAGAGGGCGAGGTGATGAGCTCCATCCCAATGCTGCACCTCTTCCTCTCACCTCCAGATACCCCACGCAGAAACTCTGTTCCTATCTGCACACAGAAAACACTGAACTGCAAAGCTGACCAGCAAAGGGGAAACATACTAAATACTCCTGTTAATGTAACTGAGGAAGTTGTTTTGCACATTTTAATGTCAGTGCATAAGCCTTTGCTACGTTTAAAAGTCGGTACATTTTTACAGATTTAAAGAATTTATAGGAATTAGATACATTTTGTGCTCTTTATATATCATTTGAACACTATTCTCTCAGATATACTTTCTATATTTGCGCAGGTACTGCAGCGTTTTAAATAAGTGCTGCTGAGTAAGAGGTTAGTAAAATAACAGTTTTTAAGGTTGAATAAGACTTTATCAAACACTTTTGTTTAGTGAGGGATGTGAAGCTAATAGCGTGTCACTGTACCTTTGTACCTGCACAGTCTGTCAGGCCCAGTTCTTGAATGATGGCATCTACTCTGCTGTTTTTATCAGCGCTGGTGTGATGCCGACGGTTGAGGCGCAGGTTGGCACTGAACAGAAGGTTCTCCCTCACAGACAAAGTGCCCATCAGGATATCATCCTGGAAGCACATGGAGGATTTAGGAAAAAAATTACTTAGTGGAATCCGAAGTACAATAATGTTAAAACATTTGTGTGTATGTATGTGTATTTGTATACCTGGACCACATAGGCAGAGCTGAGCCTGAGGTCGGATGTGACGGCTTTTCCAGCCACCAACACTTGTCCTTGCCTCAGTCCAGCTGGGTCCTTCCTTCCTGCGATTACATCCAGAAGTCTGAAGAAAAAAGACAAATGTATTGATTTGTTGGGGTTTTAGATCTCTGTGAAACAGTGCCTGTGTGTTTGCACATACATAAACATGTTTCTTACGATGTTTTACCACTTCCGGTGGCACCCATAATGGCATTCATCCCAGGTCTCAGGATGCCACTACAGGAACCAATCAGAAAATCAAGTCAAGTTATTTTGTTTATAGAGCACAATTTAAAACAATAAAACAAAATACCATGATATATTGAAGAGTTACAAGCAAAATATTAAACTTTAAACTGCAACATTGTCATATTTAAGCTCTAAAGTTTGTACTCACACAAAATCAGAGGTAACATAAAACGTGCCTCTCAGCTTTAGTATTAGCATATCATTATCAAGAAACAGATTATCTTTCACCACTCATTTATTAAACTCATTGATTAAAATAAATGCTTCTCCCCCTGGTTATGGATTTGATATCGGGACATGTTTGACTTCCAAATGTTTTGTCTCAGCTTTCTATATTAAAACATATACAGATGGGATAAGTTCCTATAAAATAATAAATATACAGGTTAGATGAAATGAGCTACAAACTAAACAAAGCTTGATGTCATAACTTACTCAGAATTACAGCATATGGTATTAGTATAAAAACAGTTTTTAAAAAAAGTGAATAGGAAGCATGTAGATTAGCAAAAAGTTGACCCTGGTATGACGAGATCAGAAGTTAAATGCAGTCAGTTACATATTCTGTGTGTGAATATGTACAAATGTACAGTGGAGTATCATGTCCTACCTTACATCGTTGAGGATGTATTTTTCAGGACCGCTCTTAAAACACAACCTCTTGTCCTGAACACAGTAGAGCAAGTTGCTGAATGTGACAGTTGGACCTGGTTCCTGAAAATGCTCCTCAACATCCCCAACAGCCTGCTCCTCCATAGACATCTTCAAAAACAGCAGTGCTTCCAGAAAAGAGGTTTGAAGATGGAGAAAGACAAATCGGCACAGTCTGACAGAGAGACCTCTGCAGTGGGATCGAGGGACAGGTGTGAGAGTATGCTATCAGTGCGTTTCTGTTATACCCTCATCTGATCTTTGGACCCAAACCCATGGACATAGCGTGACATTGAACTTCCCCCTGCAAGACTTAGCCGTATCTGCATGTAATTGAAAAGTTATAATATTATATGACCAGTAGCTCATTGTAGACTTTACTAATTTAATTATGTTTTTCGCCACACGAGATACTTATCTCTGTATTGAATGGCTCTTCCACTTTAAAAATAGATACATTTTTTACATTTCTTATATTTTTTCATATTTGCTATTGTAAAGGGGTGAGGGGCAACATATGTTATCAATCAATCAATTAATTAATTAATCAATCAATCAATCAATCAATCAATATTTATTTATATAGCCCAATATCACAAATGTTACATTTGTCTCAGTGGACAGAATATCAGTATGACAATACGACACCCTCTGTCCTTAGACCCTCACATCGTACAAGGAAAAACTTCAAAAAAAGGAAAAACCCCAAAGTTTAAAGGGGAAAATGTGAGAAGCCTAAGGGAGAGCAACAGAGGAGGGATCCCTGTATGTCTCTTTTTTGTTTTAGAGTATTTAATTAAATGAATGTATAATTTAAACTCATTGCTAAATGCAATAAAGCATGGTTTCTTACCTTTGGATTTAAATTAATGGGTATGGAATTTGTATAATTATACAATAATCATGTGAAATCATGTGATTAATCATGAACACATACGTTTTTTATCAATACTAAAAGCACACACGCTAGATAAAAAGATTAAAATTATTCAGCATTGGCCAATAGTGTGGACAGGGTGTCCAAATGCTTTTGAGCACATTAGTCATGGCCCACTTTTCCAGGGCCAGGCTGCCCCCTTCTGTAATGAATGCCGTACGGCAGGCTACTGGGTGGGATCAACTTTGTTTTTCTCTGACCTTTTCTCTTTTTTTGCCGTTGTCCAATCAGGCTTCGTGTTCAGCACAGAGACCCGGCCACAAAAATCCCTAGGACCAATAGTTTTTAAGCCCAGTTTGAAAATGGGCGTGGTTTGCCCCAGAAATTCTTAGGTGTTGTCATCGTGTTCCTTAGTTTGGTGTGTTTTACACTGGGCGTACGGGCAGAATTTAAGACGTTCACAATGCGACTTTAACGGCAGATTTTTTTCTTTTTCTATAGATGGTTAGGGTCGGTTCACGTTTTTCTCTTATAGTACACAGGAAAAAAATACATTTAATTATCTACGGAAACCAACAATCGTATACTTCACACGAAGGCTAGCTTATAAGCTACTAGCTAACGCCTGACGCTAGCTAGCTATGGAGGAGAAGAAGGAGGAGGGAGAAGCGGAGATCCAAGAACACGGCCCGGAGCACTGGTTCTCCAAATGGGAACGACAGTGTCTAGCGGAGGCCGAGCGGAGGGATGATCCAAACGAGGAGGAGACGGAACAAGGCCAACAGAAACTGTGGCACCTCTTCCAGAACTCGGCTACCGCGGTAGCACAGCTCTACAAAGGTCTGTACCGAAGTTCCAGTTAAGCTAACTGTCAGAGCTAATGAAAGCTAATCCTGCTACCAGTGAGAGACACAAAGGGCACTAGCGAGGCTAACAGTGTTAGCTGTTACTAGTTGTTTATCGACAAAATGAGTTTCCATGGGTGTGTGGGGTGAAACTAGAATGTGTGTTCTTTCAAATGTATTTAAATCTCGACGGTTGGGCGATTCACTTTATGATATGTTGACCCGGCTACGTTGCCTGTCGATAGAGCTAGCCCGCTGCTAACGCTAACAGCTGCTAACAGCCGGTCAGAGTGCGGGACAACGGGCTGCATCTGCTCTGTGGCCCGAGCTGTCAGAGGTCCTCCGGGGATAAACGCATTTATAAGTACTCGGGCTAAGTGGCTCCCCTGCTGACTCAGCAGTGTGTTTTTAATGTCTTTATGCACACTTATTCGTCCGGTTTGGAAAAAACATGGCTCAGTCATACTAAAATGTTTTTTCCACCCGTTTACAGTTACCTAGCTCGTCAAAATGGCGATATCCAGGGAGGAGTTTGCAGAGTGAAAACAATTCGTTTGTTGATATAAAAACGCAGTGGTGGTTAATTGTTGCAATGTTGGTGTGTGATTTGATAAGGGAAGGCCCAAAGACATTTTACTCTAACACGCATTCCCATGGACTTTTGCTGATGAGTGCATTGTTGTAAATATCCAGAACAAAATGGCGATATTATTTATGCAAACACTTTCTTTTTACGTCTCGTTTTGGCCTGCTGATGAGTTTAATTAACAAAACACCCTTGTAAATGAACTACGGCTTCTATCAGCTTCTGCTATATGCTCAAAAAGAAATGGGAAATAAACGTCTATATATAAAATGGTTACATCATGGTTAATTATATTTGATCTGTAAGTTGTTAGTATGAACATAATCAAGATTACCTGGTTGTCCAGTTTCCAGACAAGGCTTTTGACAACTTGCTTGTCAAGTCTGTCCAATGTTCCCCCACCCAGGTTACAAGTTATATTACCCCTGCATGTTCAAACTGCAACAGAGCTCTATTTTCTTTAAAAGTATTACCAGTGAGTCATTTGTAGAGTAAACCCAATAGACATAGATAATGCATGTATCAATGGTGGTGGAGAGCTCCCCAGACCTAAACTCTTGTTTTAGTTTTTTTACTTACCAGTTATTTTGACTAGCTTTTCTTAACGACCCTATTTCTGTATCAATACTCCTCTTAATAATAATCTATGTATAACACGAAGTTGGCGGTGTTTTGCAGCCTTTAGATAGACTTTTAGTTTCAAATATGGCTGGTTGGTTTCCTCTTTTAGTATGCACAGCACAGTTGTATTATTAAACCCCACAATAGACTGTTTCTAAAGAAGACATTTGAGCTTGAGAAGGGAGTTCAGGCTAATGAAGCAAGAATGACAATATAAATGTCACTGGAAAGTTATGACAATCTGACTAACTTTTTTAATTTAATTTACAGATAGAGTATGCCAGCAGCAAGGCCTCTCCCTCTGGGTGCCCTTCCAGAATGCAGCCACAGCTGTCACTAATCTGTATAAAGGCAAGTATCTCTGACTATTACTCAACTTCTGGTTCTCTTTCTGATTTATTGCACTTTGGATGGCATCCAGATGAACTTTGTTTGTGATTTCCATATTTACTAAAGAAATGTGTGCTTTTGTGTCATCAGAGAGTATGGAGGCCCGCCAACGGAGCTATGACCTGGGCATCCACTTGGGCCACCAGCGCAGGAATAAGGATGTGATTGCATGGGTTAAGAAACGCAGAAGAACTATCAGACGTGAAGACCTCATAAGCTTCCTATGTGGCAAAGTTCCACCTCCACGGACAGCTCGCGCCCCGCCGAGAGTTGCGATGGTGTCTTCAAGCAGACCGTCGCCCCCAGAGACAGGCAGTTCTGTGGAGACAGACCTGCAGCCTTTCAGAGAGGCCATAGCATTGCATGGTAGGTCAACAAGTTCAGAAGAAACTTTTAAGTTACGAGAATGAGACTCAAGTTCATGCAATTCGTTGATATTAATATTTTCTTCCCTTTCATTCTAGGCCTTAGTGGTGCCATGGCAAGCATTTCTGTGCGTTCCGGTCCTCCTGGATCTCCAACTCACCCTGCCCAGTCACTCAGTCGTCGTAGGAATGGTCTTCACGACGTGGACCTTAACACCTTCATCGCTGAGGAGATGGCGCTCCATTTGGATTCCACAGCCAATCGCAAACGAGGCCCTGCCCCCTGTAGTGATGTCATCACAGACTCACCTACTCATAAACGTAACAGGATGCTCTGAACTTTTCCTACACCACTAATCCCTCCTCTGTCCTCTCCTTGGTGGCCGATTGGACAGCTGATGAGGACTGATGCCTTGGCCAACCTTTGAAATCTTCCTCCTTTTCATCTAAGTTGCAATGCTACAAATAAAGAACCTTACCTATTACCAATCCTCACATTTTTTCCCTTTTCTTTCACCCCTCGTGTCACATCCTCTCCATAGAAGTTTTCTGTTTTCTTTACTGTTTGATTGGTTGCCCACAGTAGATCTGACAGAG